ACTAAATTGAGAAACAAAAAAGTTAATATCGTTATATAACTTCAATTAATTATGTTGCTATGGTAACTATATTCGAAGTTCTGTGATGTTCCTTTTAAAGGATATACTCCTAAAGTTTTCGTCTGATTGCAATGTTACCACAATAGAGACTAAATGCTCATGATCATTTTTCTATTTAGTGCTAATGCAAAGTGTCTTGTCAATTTGCTACTTTTCTCTGCCTTTTTTAAAGTAAAAACTCGTGGATCTACAGGTTTGTTTTTATGAATTCTTACACTATTTGAGGAGTGTTTTCCTGTTAAACCGATCAATAGTTCTTAAAAAAATAGACAAAAGATCAACAGGATATGTCATTCTAAGTGTTAGCTGTCTTACAATATCACTTATAAAAATAGAGAAAATTTTATTATCAAGAATTTTATCAACAGAGTTTCCTAACTAATTCATTTATGTACCAGAAAAGAAACACTGATGTCATGTTATTTCCATATTTATATTTTTGGTGCTCTGAAGCTGGAGACCAGGAAAACTTCATCAAGACAGTCCTAATCTGTGTGCTGCAGGGCACTTCTCTATGTGTACCTGTGAATATAACATATAACATGCTTATTCTAGTAATGTTGTGTATACTCTATGACAAAAAAAAAGTCTCTTTCAAAGGGCAGATTTTGAAAAATATTTTAATACCTAGTTGGAGCATATACCTTTATTCTGAAAACCGGTATAACGTCGATTTCAGAATTTGGTTTTACTCATTAACAAGCTGAAACATTCTGGGGTAAAGAAAAAAAAGGCCAGTGGAGTCAGAGACCTGCATGTCTGATGAAGTGACTCCAGAAAATACCGTCGCCCGCATGGCACAGTGGTTAGAGCGTCTGCTCTAGAATCGCAAAGTTTCAAGTCTTTCTTACATCGCAGGTTCGGATCTAACTTTAATTTGAGACGTGGAGACCGATCCTTGAAATGAGACCGTATAAACCGAGGTTCCGTGTCGCAGAAGGTTCTGGCACGAAAACATCCCCCACTGCTCAATGGCCCCGAGTGCCGAGTATAGGACAAACACCAAGTTATGGATCATTATTCTATTTATTACTGTTGCAAATTTGCATGTCAAAATGCTACTTTTGTTTTCCTTTGTTATAAGTGCATACCAGTGTAGATTCAGTCTCGACAGACACGTCTAGTTTAAAATCAAATTCATCTCGCAATCAAATAATTGGGTCATATTTTTGAAACCAGACGGGAAAAAGAAATTTCGAACCATTATATTACCAAAAAATGTCATTTTAACAACAACATTTTAATATAGTTCCTGATAAAACGCTATAGCTATATATCACTTATTATTCAGGAAAATCAAAGTCTTTCCTCGTGTAATTTCCGTTCCAGGACAATGAAATTAGTCTTTTATTTCTTAACTGTAAACTATTTTGAAAAATTAACCAAATAAGAAGGATGAATATTTTAGTGATCTCATTGGCAACTGTCCTATGCTTTGGTAAAGGATAAAATTATGAGAAATAATTCTTTAATCTCAACTGGAATTTGTCATGTTATTTTTTTGCATATTTTTCAGAATATGGATTGACATCAAATATTCACCTGGAAAACATCAACACAAAGAAAGGACTGATTATCCTGGACACCCGCTATCCGTGCAATGCAGCCTGACACTTGGATAATATGGACTGGGCACACTGCAGCTAACGTAACATTTAAAATTCATGACATGAATATTAATCTTGAATCTCTGTGATGCTACTATCTCAGGTAAGATTCACCTTTTATTAGATTTGTATCTTAAATTAGTAACACAGTATTTGGCACAATAAGAAGGATAAAAAAGCTGTAATAATTACGATTAAGTCTCTCCTTCTTTTCCTCTAACTCTCTTTCTTCTCTCTCTCTCTCTCTCTCTCTCTCTCTCTCTCTCTGCAATCTATATATTTTAATTCCCATATACAATTGTTTTTTACTTTGTAGATTAAAGAGATGGATCAATGCTGCTTCACTGCATTTAAAAAATGTGGTGAATTAAAGGACTGGGCCCTTGTCGTACAAGGGAATCAAATAAGAGTATCGTTTATATCTGACAGAAATTTGAATGCAAAAGGATTTAATCTTTCTTGGACAGGTATACCTCTTTAAATACCATGTGTGTAAATGTAGCAATGACATTTTCGTCACTTAGTCGATTTTCATTCATTTTAGTCACTTTGCCATCAACAACCCCACGGCCAAAAGTTACCAACATTAGGGTAACAACCCCTTCAAAGACATCAGTTAATATATATACCTCTAAATCAACAAAAAAATTAACAAATACTCCTACAACAATAACTGCTTCAACAGCAACAAAACTGACAACAAATGTTTTGACAACAATGCCCAGAACATCTACAACAGCAACAACAGCAAAGACGACAATCACAACAAAGTTGAAAACCCCTTCAACAAGAAAATTGATAAGCACTCCTACAACTGAAACTTTCTCAACTGCATTACAGATGACAACACTCCCAACGGAAGCTAAAACATACGATATAACAACAATAAGGCCAACACTTGCATCCAACCACTTGTCAGGAACATTTATCTTAAGAAGCTCAACATTGCCTGGTAAGAATGATAAATGGATAAACATGAAATAAACATATCAAAAACGTGAAAAAATTTAAGTATATAAAATTTTGAGTTATTGCCTTCTTTTTCAGAATAAAACAAAATTATTTAACGAGGTATTAAAAGAAATGTTATTAAGTAAAACCAATCATTGAAACTATCAAAGTCTTAATTAAATAAATATTGGGGAAAATTAAGAACTTTTGTTTCTGGAAAAGGTTTTCGTAAATCATGCAAAGGCACATTAACTGGCATCCTGTTCTAGTGTATCCAGCACTGAGTTTTGAGAATCACAAGTTCTTTTTTATAATGAAATAAAAAGAAAGAGATATGGGAAAATAAGAAAAATAGAGAGCAAAGCAAATACGGATCTCTAAAATCATCAAAAGAGGAATTAAGTGCCATGAGGAGTACTCTTCCCACGTCGGCCGTCACACTATTACATCTATATAATCCATGGCATAATCAAGTACGTGAACAATTTTGTAGATATGTGAGAGTGAAAATAACGACCTAACAAATCTATTTGAAAAAGCCATTCAATGTCTTATTTAACAAACGACTGAACTAGGTAATAAGGTCATATCATGATACATTGGTCCATGTAGTGTTTCAAGGACATTGGGCATAAAATTCCAAGTAGATTATATGATGAACATTATTCAATATCAAATAAAATAATTACCAACAGGTAAAATAGATTTTCAAAGACATTGGGCCATAAAATTCCATAAAATAATTCCTAACAGGTAACATAGAATTTAGTCATGGTATTAGAATTTTTCTTTTTATAATGAGTATTTTGCAAAAGCCAAATTGTTACAAAAGCTATGCACATTTGATTAGATCTCTACAAATTAAGACTTAATAAGTCATTCGTGCTTCGACCGAGAAACGGATGAACATGCAAACCGTGGTAGAGAAACACTTATCAAATGCGATATTAATTACGGGAAATTAAATTAGACGCCCTTGTGAAAATAAATTTTAAATAGCGTATGAAGCCCTCTCTGCTCTAATTTAAAACATATCTCCATAAAAGATTAAGAAAAATAGGATAGGGCTACTTTGCTTTTTCAACATATACAATGCACATTCGCTATATCACCACCAGCTCTTGTTGTCAAACTTCAACATGTTCAAGTCCAGCAAGCCAGAAATACTGTTACATGTATTATCACTGGTTTTAAGAAACAGAAGACATTATATAAGATTAACCCTAGATAACATGCGATTTTTGTCGAATTTTCGGGTAGGTTAGATCACACACGTGCTTCAATGGAAGTGACATCGAAGCTTTGAAATTCATAATAATTAAAGAAACATCTTAAACAAAACTCGAATTCTGAGAAACTCTTTTCCGTTCTTTTTAAAAGAGAGAAGTGTTATTTCATATTAAAATGAAATTCATGCATGATCATAAAAACCTTTAAATTTAGAGGTCGAAAAACATAATGTAAGGATATTTACAGTTCAATTAAGCTTTAAGACGTTGCCTTGCGTATAATTGCTTATTATGGACAATGCATTATCTCCTATTAAGGACATATGCAAGGTTCCTTACCTAATGATAGTTTTTCAAGATATTCTTAATTTAAACTTATAATACCATTACATGTTCTTAGACAAAAAATTAGCATATACTTTACGTGCCAAAAGTGGAATTGCATTATCCCCCAAAACAGTCACAAATGGTTGGGCATCTTATGGTGTGACTGAGAAACCTGAAGTCAGAGCGGAATCTGGTGTAACGGCGACGCAAGCACTCACAAGTATTCCGATTATTGAAAATTCAGCAACATTAGGGATAACCTTGGAAGATGATTCTTCAAATAAAACATTTCTAGACAGTAAGCAAACACTTACCTTTCTCATGTTCGTAATTCGAAAATAGAGTGCAGACGTTTAATTTTGTGTTTGCGAAAGATGTTTTCATTGTATAATTTCACAATTGTATACCAGATATTACTTGAATATGATTTTATGGACTTTTGATCTGAAATACTGTTTGTTATCTCCATATGTTTATTTGTAAATTGGATTTTTTATTTAAAAAATTGGTCTGTATGATTTGTTTATAATTTGCAATTTATGTCCAGTCTCGAATAAAAGTCTTCGAATCATATTTAAAGACAATGTGAATGGTATAAAATCTATAAAGTTCTTAAAATAAATACTTCAGCAACTAACAGTAAAGTAGATAAGTAGAAATACAATGCTTCTGAACTTTTCATATATTTTAGGTTATATGTATATAATTATTGGTGTATGTGCTTTTGAGGCCATATTGGTAATTATCGGAGTGGTTGTGGGAAAGAGATTTTGTTCAAGGTAAAATGATTCTTTATGGATCTTGCAGTCCTTTCAATGTTGATCCATTTATGTTTCGTCGTGTTTAAAAAGTTAATATAGCATGTTTTGTATCTACAAGTTAACATATTTTAGATTTTATAATTTAAAGTTTTTAATCTTTCCTAACATGAAAACAGTGCGTCAAAAAAGTCTCGACCAGGAACGACTGTAACTGATGAATTAATGGCTGCATCGATAGAAAACTGTGCTCACAATGTCTACGAATCGATTCCTCTGGAACATTTCAATTCAAATGACGTCAAAGAAATTGACGAAGGTGTTTATGTAGAATATCCTGATAATGTCTATGACCGTTCATTTGTCCGTAGAACTCACGCCTTCCAAAACAACGTGTACGAGACAAATGAAGCCATCTACAACGTGTCATTTTCAAAGCGAGACAATGACATTTTACACGGTTCTAATATTTATCAACCCTGTGAATTGACAACATTCTTGAAGCAAGAAGAAAATTGTGAAATGAAATACTAACCTTGAAGTTGTGAAAAAAAAGAAACTAAAGGTTATGAGAACATAAGATTTAAAGTCTTAAACAAAGCAGTTAAGAACATTTATGCGCCTTGTAAAAATAAAATTTATTGTTTTATATTCACAGCTTTGTGATTGAAAGCTAAATGTGGTCAACTGTGTTTAAATTTGCATTTAAATATAAATAAATGATATAGTTTATGTCATATAATATAGATTTTGGTGGAGTGGATAATTTGATTTGGTTTTCTTAAAAACATAGAGTATTATTTTGATGCTGTTTCCTTGGGAAAAGAACTCGGCAATCAAATTGAGATTGTATCAGAACCATTAGCTTGACCTCTTTACAATGAGCTTTGAGTATGACCTACTTCAAAAAACGTTTATCTTTCTGCATAAGCTTTGAATGGTTTTTAAAATTTTAAACAGATACATTATAATGGAAATTAATGGTAATGATGTCTCAAAAAAGAAGAAGAAATACGTGCATGCTAAAACGTAGTCCATCCGTGACAATTCGACCAGGCAAAGCAATAAACTTCAGAACCATCAATTTGACATCTTGACCATGGCCTTTGAGGTTGACGTACCAAAAAGTTTTTGACAATTAGCTTTGAATAATCTTTTGATTTTTTAAAACAGATAAATACAATCAAATAAATCTTATTTTAAAAAAGCAAATAACAAATACACTAAATATTTATATTGTCATTGGTGCATCAAATACATCTTTGCTTTCCTGTACATCAACAACTACAACAAAGACTAAAATAAGCCACTTTATGCTACAAGAAGAAATACATGTACGTATATTAGTCCTTGAGCCACTGAGGGTGGTCGGTACCATTTTGGGTGAATAAACTTTATAGTGATATTTGGTAAGGTATACACCTAACTAGTGAGAAAATGTATGATAGCATCAAATCTGTTGGGGCTTTAATGCTGGAGACACAGTTATTGCCCTTTATTTGCTCAAATTAGGTATTTTGAGTTAAATATATTAGCAACCTGCAAAGTATTTGTCACACAGTTGACAACCTTGATGGAAAGTTTTACCAGAATTACTCCAAGATATGATGAACAAATTAAAAGACATTTAAATGAATTCACCTGATTCCCAAAAAAAATTGCATTTTTTTTTAAACCCCTTTTATTATAAATCCTCAAAAAATTGTATAAAGAAAAAGATAAGTACCAACGCACATATACTAGTTTATTTTGTCCGTCGGTGACGACAATGACCACTATCTCATCTTCGTGGCGGAAGGGGGATGACCTGAACGGTGAGTGCGGAGGTGACTTGTCAGGCTGATCCTCGCACAAGCAGATGATGGAGTTTTTCGACTAGAGCTACGCCCCTTCTTTGTAAATCTCAGCTGGGATGGAGTATCGGGCTACCGGCCAGGTGCTTTGCCAGTTGACAACAGACTACTTGCTTTCTGGATCTCATCCAACGTGGGAACGCCATCCAATGACTAGTTGATTGGAACCTGGGAAGACGGTTGATGGCTTCGTCGTTGATGGTAGAATGGGGTTCAGAACGCAAATGAAATGTTTCGCCCACCTGTCGAGCATCTTTTCCTTCTCTGTGATGAGTGTTAACCCGTCATCACTGAGGAGAGGGGATGAGCCTGATGGTATTGGCCCGTAGACTTCCTCAAGTCCACAGTAAAAGTTTTTCCTACGCCTGTCATGAGATTCGGCGTAGCGTTGGATCTCGTCTGCTTTGGTATTCAGCCAGGAGTCCTGCATATCCCAAAGCTTTTGCTGTACTGTGCTGCGAGCGTTCCTCAGAGCGTCTTTCTTGGCTGTGGAGGTGGGATCATCTATATTAACCTCGTAAGCGCGAAGCTTGTCCTCAAGAAGCTGCATGATCTCGGCTCAGTTCTCATCAAACCAGTCTTTGTTATTTTTGATGGAGGGCCCAAGACACTCGGTATTGTACACTGTATTACGTAGTGTGTTCCATGCCGCTTTCACGTCCTGGTCGTCCAGCAGAGTGGAGTCCAGGCGTTCATCCAGGGTGTCAGCAAAGTACTTAGAGGTGTAAGGCAACTTTAGCCTACCAATGTTGAGACGTTTTGAAGCCTTAGTCTCCTTGGACGTCTCCTGAGTTTGATCCGGAGGTTGAGAGGTGAAGTGTTTAGAGACTGTGAGACGGTGATCTGTCCAGCACTCCGTGCCGCACATAGCCTTGGTGAACATATGAAATGTCTGTCTGTCTTTCTTTCTGACAATGACGTAGTCCGGATCCTTGTTTCTTCGTTCTCTTTGTTATTTCGACCGCATGTGTAGGGTCTCCATCAGCCGCGGAAAAATGGCTAAGGAAAGGTGGAACAGGCAGCGTTTGGGATACCTTTTATAATCCTCTCCTTTTGCCAAGGAGGTGAGCAGCGCGTTCCTAAAGAGGGCTGCTCAGTAGCACAGGTGGCTGCCTAACTCCAACGCTGCTCTGGGTGGTGAAGAGCGACCATATGGCCTGTTCCGCCTGTGTGCAGGTCCGCGACTACCGATTTCCAGTGAACCCGCCCTATCACCTTTGTTGCTCGCCTGTCCCAAAGGGCTTTGGGGTGGATGATAGAAGGGATGGAAGATAATCATTGACTTGACTTGCGCGCGATGAGTTTGAATAAAATGCAGAAGGGTTGCGAGTCGACGACCTCACTCTCTCATCCACAACCATCTAGATCCAGTGGCAAGGCAGGACGTCTGCAGATGAAGACAGATGCAGCAGATGACCAAGATGTGCTATATGTGCCATGCCTTGCTCCATGCTTCCACGATGCTTGCTGTGTCCGCCTTCTTCTCCGTTGAACCTAACGGTTTCCCGGCAGAGTCCGCCGGGGCCCGTCTTTTCATGCGTTATAGGTAGGCAAGCCATCAATCAAGAGGGTTTGAGACCGGTCAGCGCTTTGTGTAGAGAGTGACCTCCTGAGGGATCTCCCTTTAAAAGGTTACGGGTTCTTCTACCCGGACTAGTAGAGGGAAGGGGCGTTAGACCATTGCAGGTCGAGAGACACAGCCCGCTGCCCATATTTGGTCGTGCACATATGTTGCTCAATTTTGATGTCAAAAATATATAATATATTAAACGTTTAACTTAGATGAACATATAAATGTTCATCATCACCATGGTTTAGCATGAGAATATAATTAAATAAAACATTTTACGTTAAGGCTCTACTTGAACCAGACATATTCACAATATTTTGTTAAATAACCAAGGGTAAATCGGGGGATTTTCCCCAATTTTCATTTTTAGGATAGGGATAAAGATTTACTATTAAATCAAGTTGATATATTTGTTACTGAAATAATGTTTTTAAATGCTAATAGTATAAAAAAACTTTAAAAAAATGACCATGCAATATGTTTTTGATGTGAAAATTGCCACAGTACTAATTTGTTTCCTATAAAATTTTTAAATTGCATATTCTACTCTTATGATCAAGGGTAGAATTATATTCCTATATAATTTAGACGGTCATTACAGAGCCAATATTGTAATAACAACAGGGGAATGTGTTCATTCAAAAGAATTTTCAAGAAAATATATGAAATAAAAATTTTCGTACTGAAAAACCAACCTTCTTATTTTCAAAGACACAGCTTAGAGATTAGAACGAACAAGTTGGGGTTTGGGGTATATAAACTGTTGATACACCATTAAAGCCTAATCAATTGAATGCTATCAAACATTTTCTGAAGGTAAGATGCATGTCCTTCAAAAATTAACTATGAAAATTATTCACCCGAGATGGTACCGATAACGAAAAATTCATGGCCTGGCTCATGGACTATATGCTAAACAGTTTCAGTTTCAGTTTCTTTATTTCTTTAAGCCAACTGGCCCATCAGAGTTATACAACAAAAATGATAGTAACAAAAAGAAAAAACATACAGAGAGAGTGAACGTAAAGAACACATACATGGGAATAAAATTCTATACATCAATTTTATTTTTTCTTAACATTGTTGCTACGTTCAAAAATTTGCCCAAATTTACGAGATCTTTAACATTATGGGAACTTAACAGCTGAATTAATTTAAAGACACTAGGTCTAGTATAATAATACTTTTTTGAAAAATTTCTTTCTTATATCAATATACAATGTACATTTCAAAATAAAATGAAATTCATCTTCTATATCATGGAGATTACAACATGTACATAATCTATCATTTTAGGTACGTTATGGTGTCGACCTGTTTCAATATTCAAGGTGTGATTAGATAACCTGAATTTTATTAATAGCTGTCTTAATTTTTTGTCAATAGGTTTTGTTAAATACCATTGCAAACAGAAATTGTCAATTAAATGTTGATATAAATTACACTCTGAAGAGTTTGATATATTTTCTAATATAGCTTGTCTAGAAACATCTAACAGTCGTTGTTTTATAATGAGATAAGACCTATCATTTAAATTATCTTCTGTCCAAAGTTGACCTAGACCTAAAAGGGACAATTCTTTTTTAATTTGTAAAATCCATTTGTCATTATGTAATACCATGCTTTCATAACAGGACTTAAGAATGCAATTTTCAGTTGTTCTCAGTTTGATCCAATATTTGAATATTCTTAAACATAGTTCATTCATGATGATTTGTAAATGACAAGTCAAATCAATCAACTCTAAAAGCATTTCTTTACTTGAGTGGTTATAATTCATCCATTACCAAAAATTAACCATAAAGAAATTGTTTCATCGTGTATCAATATATGGACCTAGTGTTTTGAAGAAAAATGACTTTAATTATAATAATCGTGAACGTTCAACATTTTTTCTTAGAGTATAGAAGAAAGTTTTCCAATGCTGAATGTCAGCAAGTGCTTTTATCTTTTGATAAAAATAGTGAACTATTTTAATATCTTCATCAAATAAAGGGAAACATTACCATCTCGTCTAAGTACAGGATTTCATAAACACAACAGAAAATAAAACTATGAGAGATCCACGAATAAATCGAGACAACTTGACTATCAAAAGTTTCCTTTTGTGCACTTTCCTATTCAGCAATTATTTACAGAAATTTTAATTGGAACAAGGAAACTTTTGTAGATAAGTGGTCGGAAGAATAAGTGGGGTTATCTAATTCACAGCTAATAATCTCCACGGATTATTTTGTAGTTTCCCATTTAAACACTTCTAACGCTGTATTGTACCTTGCAGAGTAAGTGGATATATGTATTAAGATAAGGGGG